AATAACACATTTAAAAGTTATGCAATAATGCTCATAAAATGTGTTAATGCCAAACAACTTTCTTGTTTTTTTTAAATCTTTTTTTTACACTGCTGCAAACATTTTAGAGGCCATTTCTTTTATACAAATATGTCATTTCTGACTATATCAGGTGGTGACATTATCTCTCAGTTTAAACACCTCAGACTCAATACCTCGCAGTAATTAATACCTTGGCTGAGCTCCATCCGTTTCTCAAGCTATTGGCTTTTCATGTCAATCTGCCCGAGGGATTAATGGAGCAAAATAAACTGCAAAAGAGTGACACAAAAGCCTCCCGACACTGTTTGCTTCGGCATGGGAATCTATGTGTGGCTTTTCTCAGAGGCAGAAGTCCCTTGGCGACTGTACCCTATCCACCCCCATTTCATGCTTTGTCAACTCCCGGATGGAGTCATTCAAGACGAGGACTCAAGAGTCAAAGCAAGAGATGTGACATCCTGAAGTAACAGGAAGGACGTATAGAACAGGATCACCTCATTGACCCAGGAGACCTCACTTTGGCAAGATGTTGGCCCTTCACCTGACTCAGTTGAGCAGAATGCAAATCACAGGACACTTTCTAAATGCATACACCTGCACTTTCCATAAAACCCTAATGCCTTTTGTTCACAGAGAGCAGCTCCGACAGCTGAAAGCCTCAACAGAGCTCACTCCTGACATGATATTGTAAATATGGAAATCCTGAAACATGGTAAGTGACCTCTACAAAACCTCTACAATGATCAACAGTCAACCACAGGTGTTGCCCATATATTTACGGCCATGCCACTGTTTGCAGAACATCGAACATAACAAGACCCCCCTCAGAGTAAATCTAATAAAGTAGTTATATCTATAAATACAGTACCATCATTGCATTAAAGAAGACTGAACTCCCAGCCATCCCCAAGAGACCTCTGGGGGTCCACCAGTTCATGTCTTTTAACTTCACCACATTAAAATGAAAGGTTAATCAATATTTTGCTGTGCAGGCTGCCCAAACTGTTTTCCATTTAACATTTGGTGCTCTGACATGATCTCAGTTTTTAAATCTCAACTCAAAATCCATTTTATAGATTGCCTTCTGTTGCAGTTAGTATCTTTTGTCGTCTCGTCGCTGAACCTAATGATGCCATTTTATCCATTGTATTGATTTTTATTGTACCCTGTAATAGTGCCATCTTACTCTTCAATCCTGCTTTATTTTCTCACACTAAACATTTTTTTTTGGTGACAATATTGCATATTCCATACAAGCTGCTGTTTTTATGTCACCATATGTTCTATTAGTATTATTTTCATCCTCTGGGAATCCATAACAAATTCCATTAAAAAAAGACAGTTTTCATTTGGTAAGATGATCATTGTGCTCCCACGCACTCCTGCACTCAGGGTTTATTATGCATCAATATGTCAGGCTAATTAATAAGTCTTTGAGAGCAGGGTTATTGCTAGTGTGGCCTGTGTGCTATGCATGTCCAATTGGATTAGGTGCAGTATCCGCTGATGAATCAATTATGTGTCCGTCCATTGATGGAACTAAATGCATACATGTTCTTTGTTAAAGGTCAAGAGCAGTGAAATGATTTATTCTATAGGAGCCAGCGCCACTGTTCCTACAGGTTACACACGGAGCACCATGTTAAAACACCACTGACCATTTCAGAAAAAAGAGGTGAACTCTAGCGTCATGCTAATAAAAGGTTTAAGAGGCCAAAGCTCACTAATGGAAAAACTGGATTTAGAAGGTGACAGGTTGGCGGTCAAATCAAGACCACTAGCTAGAGAAAGAACTGTATCAAAACACACGTCTGAGTTTAATCGCTTTACAAGGGGATTTGGTGACATAGTGAGGGTAGGATTGCGCTGCTTTTGCGCCTGCTAAACATGTACAAATAAAAAAAAAAATACACTCCATAATTCACAGTCAACAGCACCAACAGCCACTGGCAGATGGAGTGGAGCAAAACATCTGTTGAGACAAAGTGCTAACTGTCCTGCAGTATTTTTTAAGAGATGTCCCAGGCAAAATGTCCAGTGATCAGGAAAACAATTTCCCCTGTGTATGACTTTACAATAAATGATCTGGATTTAAAGTCTGTAAATATGACTTTGACATCACTATTAATCATTTTACCAGGGGTTATATGGCTAAACACTTCATCCCCATCTGTGGAGACAGTCAGGACTCGGGAGCCGTTACACATCAGGATGTGAGTTTACTCTGAATTCTACCAGTCCGACAGGAAGCTTATTTAAAACTCTGTGAAAACCATTTTACATTTTCCAAGTAAACAAAAACCCAATCTGGCATCAAAACGAAACACAACCCTGAAAAAGTTTCCCCTCCCCTCCTAGCTCATCATCTTCATGTGGACAAAACAGCTCTGTCAGCATGAGATGCATCTGCGCTAGGGGTAAAGGTGCAGACAGATTTTCTCCACAGTCAGACTCTATTTTCTGGAGCTAGTTTTTAGATTAGCTACTGCAATCCATCCTTAGTGAACCAGGTCTTCTATCTTTTAAGTAACCAGCCCTTTTACAGCTGATACAATATTTCATGATTATTGACCAAAGGTGGGTTCTGAACCCTGAGTAGAGTTTTCAGTCATAAGTTGTCACATTGTAGAAAGAAAAAAAAGTTGTGTTCAATTGAGCCGGGAAAAACAGCTTATGTACATGTGAGAGAAAAAACCCCCACAGTTTATCCGTCAAATAAAGAAGCTGGCATAATATTCCCTGATGTGTTTTGGGACATGTCAGGAAATAGGAGTCAGATATAAACTTCTCTGGAGTAATGAAGCCATGCGCCATCACAGGGTACATGATGAAAGACATGGACATATTTCATGTTTTATTTTCTTTCAGTGAGAACACTTGAATCTCATTTCATTTTCCTAAAATATTAAAATCAGTGTTCTCTTCTCTTTAGGATTTTCCTTTCTGTGCAAGATGCTCAAGATGCTGTTCTGTTTCAAGGTAAGAGCCCATGTTCCAGGCTTTCAGGGCTACATGTTTGGCTAAGACGCACTCTAATCCAGTATTAGCCTGCTTGGCTGTAACTTCTCTCCTCCAGCAAGAGCACATTCTGCACCACAACAATCTATTCAGCGAGCATATACTATATATATATATATAAATAACCTACATGCTCCCACTCTCCTCTCTTCTATCTTGGTGGTGATGAATGGCACCCATCTCCGAGTGATTGACTAATCATTCTCTATTAATCTGCTGTCACTGCTGGAACTCTCAGACCCTTCGACTCTTTTTCACACCCGCCATAACCCACCCACCCATCCAACACATTGCCAACGAGGCGAGCAGAAAGGCAGCTAGAACATAAACCAGAGCAGAGATGGTGTCACTATGGCAACGGGCAGAGTGACAGAGGAATCCACACTTATGTAATTAGAAAGTTGGGGGGGAGGGAGAGATTGGAAGAAGTGGGCAGTCACTTTTCACTGTGAAACATCAAAAGCTGAACATTGTAAATGATAGAAATTATTTATTAGTAACACCAGGGGTTATGTGTCTATTTTGAAAAGAAATAAAGTAAATAGAAATTATTCATAAAGTGCAAAACATTGTGTCATTTTTTTCTTCGATGGACTTCAGCTCATTTGCAGCCGAATAAAAAAGCTCATTTGCAATTTTAATCAGTTTCAAATCATTTTCTGATTTGTTCTTTTTGCGTCTCGTCTCATTTTACTGCAAAGTGAAACAAACTGTGTTTCTTTGCAAACTGTGTTTCTTTGCAACGGCTGATTCAGGTTGTTGACTTCTGTGATTTGAAAGACATGCAGGTTATGAAATGTCATGATAAGATTTTACTACAACCTGTTTTGTGCAAAGCTGACTAGACTTTGCCTTGTATTTTGGGAACTTTATAACTTAAATTATGTCAACCTTTATAAAAAAAAAATATAAATCTATTGATGACTGTGGACATTATCTTTGCTCAAATATAAAAATCAGTCAGACGGGGATTGTCTTGCTGCAAACGGATACATCCCGCCCACCTGTCAAACAGGTCAGTCACACTTAACAACATGCAAAGTACCCCCCCCCCCCGGCCTTACAGTGAAGTGTGTACCCATGAGGACAATAACTAATCAGCTTCTTTAGTTTTTTGTACCAGTCTGTAAACATGTTTGGTTCTGCTGTAACAATGTTTGAATGTGGTGTGTATGTGACTTCCTGGGCTCTTGGTACCAGCCTCAAAGGGACAATTTGACAATCTGCAGGATTTTTCATCGGCTTCACTTTACAACACCTGAAGTTGCCGCTTATTCAGTACATGTATTTGACTTTTTTTTCATGTTATGACAGCACAGTCATGTTTTCTACTTTTGTGCTGTAGATTCAAGTCAGGCCCAGATGTTCACTACAGTTTGTTCTAAACCAACACAAATAATGCACCCATTATTATCTATCAGACATAAGAAAGTACTGTAATTAACCACCGGGGTATTTCTGTCCCTATGCGTATTACTGAATCAATTAAATGTATTGATCAATATAGAATCAAATCAATATCGAATTGAATCGTGACCCAAAGAATCAAAATGGAACTGAACTGTGAGGTTCTTGACAACCCCCAGCTCTATATGGAGTCATATTGTATTGTGTCATAACGTAGGGTATTGCATCATATCGTACTGTAGCAAAGTATTTGCACATTTATTGTTAGAAGCGTCCGTCAACCAATCTGAATGTTTAGCGACAACAGCTAGAAACAAACAATCAGTCTTCATATTATGTGATCACCTTTTCAAATGAGATCGACCACACTGTGAGGATAACATACCAACAAGGTTGATGATGGCTATTAAAGGTAAATAGTTGATTCCTTTATTTTAATACTATGGTTAGGGAAGTAAATGTAAGGGTTGGAGTAAGACATGTGTTGAAGTATCCAGAGTGTATATTTAATTGAATAAAATGTCCTCCAGCTGACAAAAACAAGGTGTACTTACTCTGCCAGCTCCTCAAGGCTCCTGTACACATCATCCTCATTCAGAGCTGTGTCCTCTGATGGAAAGGGCCTGTAACACAAACACACAAACACACACACACACACTAAGTGAGCAAGGCTACAAAACACATTATTACTTTTATTACAGAAAAAAATAACCAGTCAGAAACAGCGGGTTCTATCTGCCAGGTTGTCACTCTTAGCTTTATCACTTCTTGCAGTCCGACAGCAGGATGTATTCAACAGAGGAGCCCATCAGTCACAAACAACATTGTCAAAACACATCAACACACCGCTGCTGACAGATAAAGAAATTTAAAAAAACACGGCATCTTCCCACAGCCAACTTTCTCAGCAATACAGGGGCATTGGTCAGGTGTCTTAGAAATCCTCTCAGGAGGTTTGGGGCAGCTTTCAAGGACCATCAGGGAGAGAGCAATGTGAAATATTGAAAAGGACAAGTCCAGAGCTGTTTTTTTACATAAGATAAGCCTTCTCTACCTATACAGTATGTAAACCTCCTGCTAAAACAAGAATGGGTTTGATGTTTAATGCAAGCTACAACAGCATAAATAAAAAGCCTTGAAGTCCGCCTGTTACACAATCTAATCCTCGTCTTAAATGTCCTCTCCCTCACGCTGCATCAACAAACACGATTCTCCAGGAAGTGGCAGAGCATAAAAAGCAATGACTAATCAATTAGCTCATTAAACCGGCTGGATTTTTAATTCCAATCTTTTAAAAGATATCCGCTAGCCGCAAACATCGCTCTGCCATGCATGATTAGATCTCGCTCGGCCGGCCGTGTTTATGATGTTTCCTTTTTTTTTTCTTTCACAGAGCTGATTGCTACAAATTATAGCCTATTAGCGTAATGTTGTGCACAATTGAAGCTCATTAAAATGAGTGAGGTCAAGAGTGGCGTTCATCACCTACCACGCTAATGCACTGAATTGGAAATAATCTGCAATATTTAAATCAATTCTGAGCATAATAAATTAAAAAGTGTTTCCTAAGCTTCTTCAGAGATAGAACAACACGGATACATAAAAGAGTTGAGATGCTTTGTAAGCAGAATGTGATGATTTTTAAGACATTGAAATCAAAAAATTTTTACTGATAAAAGCACAAAGACAACATGTCAAATTTGAATATTGATAAATATTGATTTTGAAAATATATTTGGTAAATGGATTTGAGCTTGTATTTTACTTTTCTAGTCTTCTGACTACTCAGAGCGCTTTTTACACCGCAGGTCACACCTACACATTCACATCCATTCACACACTGATAGAGGCTGCTATGTAAAGGGTCCATCAGTTTTAACAAATCCATTCATACACATTCACTGGGGTAAGTGTCTTGCCTTAGGACCCATAGACATATGGCTGCAGGAGCTGGGGATTCAACCCAGACAACCAACTCTACCACTGACCTGCCCATATATCTCCATTTTGAATTTTATGCCAGGAACATTTAAAAAAAAAAAAAAAATAGAGACAGGATCATGTTTTTCACTCAGGGCGCATCACCTCTTCTTTCAACAACACTTGAGGTGCAGATGGCCTACTGGTTAGGCCACGCCCCCGGAGGCTAGGTTCCTCCAAGTGGGCAGCCAAGGGTTCAAGTTTGGCCCATGGCTCCTTTCCTGAATGTCATTCCCCACTCTCTCTCTCTCCCTGATTTTCTAGTCTATCCACCGTCCTGAAGCAAAAAGCCCCCAAAAATAAATCTACGCTAGTGTTTGGAAACTGAGGAGACCAATTTCAGTAATTTTGAAAGTGGAATCTTTTCATTTTCTTGTTTAATGTAGGACTTTAGCTGTTTAACAGTTCAGGGTCTCCTTTTTTGTTTTTTACATTTCATAATGCCCCAAACCTCTTCAATGGCTGACAAGTTGGGACAGCAAGCCAGTTAAAAACTCTTTACTGCCATGCTTTTGAAAAATATCCAGATAGTAGTTTGGAACATGCTTCTCCAAATCTTTTAATGATATTATGACAATGAAGTCCCTACATTATTTACCCATGCAGTCTTTCACAGAGCGTTGAACCCCTTACCCATCTTTGCTTCAGACAGACTCAGCCTCTCTTTGATGCTCTTTATTTACCCGATCAGGTTACTCACCAGTTGCTAATTCACCTTATTTACTGAGAGATACTCCCTTCGGGTGTTTTTTTTTTCAGCCTTTTACAAATTGTCAAGTCTTTTGTTGCCATTGTCCCAACTTTTGTATTGTAGGTACAGCACACATGGGGCCTGTGCATTAACCAGCAGGCCAATGGTGCCGCCATCCCAACTTTTTAAAAAGAGTTTTCCAAAAACAATGCCATTTCTTAGTTTTAACATACGATATGTTGTCTTTGCAAAATTTTCAATCAAAGGATGATTGTAAAATGATCTCATGTTGCTAATTATCACACTTGGGGAATGGGGTTTGTATAGTAACCATAAGTAAACAACCTGAGATTTTAAACATGTAGAAAGTATTGTCACAGTTTTCAAAGCATCCGAACCCTCGATCTTAAGATATTCCTCGGCCTTAAGGATTTGTTGTTATTTTTCAGTCCTGTGTGTTTGTCATCAGTGTGACAGCAGCATTCTGTGTTCACCCTCCTCTCCTACAGCAATAAATCCCACACAAAGCAGCAGCCAGCCGTGGTTGCTGCTGCGGTAAACAGCTCTGCAAGTTTGACCTTGACTTCCTCTGTATAATGTATCTACTGAACACATGATTTGTTTTCCCACTGACAAATAGCCACTGGAAACACACACACACAAATATCCACACACAAACAAATATAAGGGAATCTACCATTATTTAAGAAAGAGAAGGATGGCTGCAGGGGAGGGAGGGTTTCAAGTTCACGGGGAAAGCTTGATGCAAGCTACGCTCACGTCTTTGACTTTTAAGCAGTTTAAAGACAGCCCTTCAGAATATTTTACTCTTCTTGTTTCATACTCATGGATTATGCTTGCTCCTTGCAAACATGTCGATTATGCAAAGTGAGCATCACCTAACATGTTGATCTAAATTGTTTGCACAGAGCTGTTCAGTCAGTTTCAAACCATTCTTATAACGAAGTTCATAAGAAGTTTTAGGATCGACCATAACTCCAATTGAATTTAAGATGACACAAGGTCAGACTTTACATGTTTCAGTATAAAAAAAGAAAGCAGAGCTTCCAGAGAAATCTCACAGAGAATAACAAAAATAAAACCTCAAAGATTGTTTAGCCTCTGTTTACCAGAAGTGTCCAGAAAGAAGCCAAACCAACTACATTTAGAGAGTCTTCAATATGCCTGGAATGGATTATAAAGCAATTTAGTCAACCAGCTACATTACCCATCATGCAAAGAGAGACATACCACAAACATATCTATAAATAACAATCCCTCTGCTTCTAAGCCTGCATGAGCTGACATATGAAAGAAATAAGCACAAGATATGTCTCCTGATTAAGAAATTCTACATCTAACAGAACATTTCATGATAATTCTTATGTTAGATTTAATCTGAGGAAAATATTGTATTTAAAATGGTAAAGACTAATCCCTTTAGTATGAGTCTTGAAACCCATCAGCATTAATCGTCTGACAGAGATATATGCCTCTTGGAATGAATGCCAAATCAACTCAGTATTTTTAGTGTAGTCAGTGATTAGCGTTAAATGAGTTACAGCTAAGACCTCCTCTTCTGCATTTAAGTTGCAAATGTAAAAGGCGATCTTTATCCATAACATCCCCCCCATAATCTCTGCCCATGGGGAGGACCATTCACTATGGTACTGGTGCTCCGAGATTGGTAATTTTTGACGGTAATCTAAAGGCTGATTGACTTTCCTGACTTAGGTCGATTTGTCGATAAAGTTAAAGTTCTTGATCTAGAGCTGATTGGTGTAGTTACACTTTTATGCAGATATCTGTTTATAGAGAAAAAACAGATCAACGTCAGAATACCGCTGATGGGAGCCAGGATGTCATTAGCGCCTGCTGATATTAAACGCTGATAGTGTTGCATCGGCGACCTGATGGGCTGTGTCTTGAACCCAATACACGATTATTTCCATTTATTTTATGAAACATGTTATTGAAGGCTAAGAAAGTGCGCAGGAGATGTTGCAGCAGGAATGTAAGGGCAAAGAGGAAGCCAAAGGATGTCTCTGATTGTGTTGTAGCTGAGTATAGAGTAATAGGGGCGACAATAGGGGCAGTTCAAACGTTGAAAAGCCCTCATTAACTCACTCTGCTCTCTGTAAACTCTCAGATCTGCAATTTATTGTGATATCTGCCCTGAGAGTTAAGAGCAGCGGGCCAAATATCACACAGGAGTTTGGACTTTGTTATTTGACATTTTATTCATGTATGTGTGTCTGTGTGTGTCTGTGTGTGTGTGTGTGTGTGTGTGTGTGTGTGTGTGTGTGTGTCTTTGCAAACTATGTGTATCTGTGTGACACCACCCATTAGCCTCTGTGTAATTAAAACAGTGGTCACACAGAAAGAGTGCGTCAGCCATCGAGTTAATGAATGCTCAGCTCGATAGTCAAAGGTCAGCTGGTCACCCTGAAGCCACACACACAAACACACTCACACCTTTACACACAAACATACATGCATGCTCAAGACCATGCAAAGAATCCAGCAAACTCAGCCTTTTAAAGTATTTTTTTTTAGATTCATTAACTTTGCTAATTTTTGTATGTTGAAGCTCACAACTTCATTAAGACTTCTGTATTTTCTAAAGCTCATTACACGTAGAAATAATAACGGAGAAAAAACAGCCTCATCTGATTTATGTAACTTTCTGTCTCTCTGTTATGAAAAGAAACACAGCGCAGAGGGTGCATCCTCCAGAGCGCAATAACACACCCACATGTGATGGCCCCCCTACAATGAAATGTGCATTATATTATAAGTTATTAATGGAGTCCCGCAGGGCAAAATTTAATTACGTAGTAGTTTGGGGAGGTATCTATCACCTCGGTGTTGTTCTGCGGAGCCAAGCATGGCCCAATGCTGCCGTTTTAATTTCAGCTAAATGGCACAACCAGGTGTAATTGAACTATGTTT